TACGCCGATCCAAAGCCAGCAGCCAGGTGCTTCTTCCCGGTCTCCTACGCAGGTGAAGGGGCCCAAGCACTTGGGCCATCCTCCACTGCCTTCCCAGGCCACAGCAGAGAGCTGGAGTGGAAGAAGAGCAACCGGGACTAGAATCCCGTGCCAATATGGGATGCCAGCACCAAAGGCGGAGGATTAACCAAGTGAGCCACGGTGCCGGCCCCTGAAATAATAATTATTGTCCTTTAAAATGATAATCTACTTTCAGAATAATTTCAAATTAGTGACCAAATATCTGTTTTCCAATGTTAGTTGACTTTCTTTGCTAATGTGTTTTATATAATTTTTCAACTATGATAACAAATTGGTTTCTAAATATCACTTCTAATACTATCCTTAATTATTTCTAATCAAGACTATGTTAGTTCCATCAAATTATTTGGAGATATACTTTTTCTTTTTTCTGGAAAATTGTTTACTATTTAGAATTATGAGCTTTTTTTGAATTTCTGTAATAAGCTGTTTGTAAGCTGTATGTCTCAAGGAAGACACAGTTATTTTTCTGGAAAATAAATATAATACACATTTGATGTAAGGATGAAAAATAAGCATCCACATTATTAATCACTTTGATGGGTACTGTTTAATGGTGCAAAAAAACCTTAAGGGTAGTTTCTCTTTACAAACGTTTATAAATTGAAAAATCTGGGGCCAGTACTGTGGCGCAACAGGTTAAAGCCCTGGCCTGAGGCACGGGCATTCCATATGGGCCCTGGTTCAAGTCCCAGCTGCTCCACTCCCCATCCAGCTCTCTGCTATGCCCTGGGGAAGCAGTGGAGGATGGCCCAAGTCCTTGGGCCTCTGTACCCATGACAGAGACCCGGAGGAAGCTCCTGGCTCCTGCCTTCGGATTGGCGCAGCCCAGCCATTGTGGCCAACTGAGGAGTGAACCAGCAGATGGAAGACCTCTCTATCTCTCTGCCTATCTTCTCTCTGTGTAACTGACTTTCAAATAAATAAATATATGTTAAAAAATAAGTTGAAAAATTTAAGCTTAAAGAGATGAAGAAATCTGAGGTCATGATATTAATATATAGAACAAAGATTTAACCAAGGAATGTCCCATTGCAAAATTTGCAGTTTTAATTAGTTTATTTTGACAAATGTGTTTATAAAATGGACAAATGGCTAAAAGTAAACTTTCTTTTCCTATGAGAAACATTTTAATGTTTCTTTTCTTTGGAAATGTGTGGTTATAAAACTAAACTAATTTACGGAGAATTATAGTTTTCTTTTACTTGAATCGCCCCATAAATTGTATTAAACTGGAATTTGTATTCAGAGATCTGCTTATCGCAACTATTATTCTCCTGGGCATTTTATTCTTGCTGTCTGTCTCTAGGTTCATTATTGTTACTTTCCTCTCTTGATCTGATCAAGAACATGCTCCAGTCTTTTCAATTGCTTAAATCACATCCACATGGCATTTTCCTTTTTGGATATACTCAAAGTGAGGAACACTATTTAAATTACAATTAACATTCTAATAATTCATGTGAAAATTTATTTAAATAAAGTAGAATAACTCAATTTGGAGTAATGAATGCCTACGGTCAACAGTTAAGAAGAAAGAGATGCATAAAGAGATGAAGATTATTTCTGCACAAAGGCACAGTGGCTGACTGCCTCAGTGCTCTGCCTACTAATATTTCATACATTTATAAGTGGAATTTTGAAGTTCTCTGAGATTTCATGCATCTTTAAATAACATGCATTTACTTTTTAAAATGCATAAATATGAATTCATCATATGAAGTATGCTGAAGAGGGTATTTAAATAAATAGAAAGAAAAATCTGTCACGTTAATACCTTGTGAAAGTTGGAATCATTCTTTTTTTAAAATCCATGAGACTCAAGAACAAGACTGTAATGAATATTATTAAGTGAGGTGATTTAAAGTTAACTATTAATTTATCACAAACAATATCCATTATCTATGGAAAAAACAGTATCTCCAAAATCAGTGACTAAAAACAACCAATGTTTTATTTCTGAAAACCCTGTGAGTCAGCATTAGACTTGGGTTGGCTAGAAAGTATGGGCACCGGTTCGAGTCCCAGCTGATCCACTTCCGAGCCAGCTCTCTGCTATGGCCTGAAAAGCAGTACAAGATGGCCCAAGTCCTTGGGCCCTTGCACCCACCTGGGAGACCTGGAAGAAGCTCCTGGCTCCTGGCTTCAGTTTGGCTCAGCTACAGCCATTGTGGCCATCTGGGGAGAGAACCAGTGGATGGACGACCTCTCTCTGTCTCTCTGCCTCTACCTCTCTGTAGCTCTGTCTTTCAAATAAATAAATAAATAATTTTAAAGAAACTTCTTTATTTGAAAGTCAGAGTTACACAGAGAGAGGAGGGGCTGCAATGGCTGGAGCTGTGCCAATCCGAAGCCAGGAGCCAGGAGCTTCTTCCAGGTCTCCCACACTGGTGCAAGGGCCCAAGGAGTTGGGCCATTTCTACTACTTTCCCAGGCCATAGCAGAAGCTGGATAGAAAGTGGAGCAGCTGGGTTAGGAAGCAGTGCCTATATGGTATGCCGAAACTGCAGGTGGCATCTTTAACCACTACACCACAGTGCTAGCCCCCATAAGATAAATTATTTAAAAAAGAAAGTAAGTTGGGGGTTGAACAAGTGGGTGCACCTCACTTTTCACGTGCTTTTTCATCACTCACAAGGCTCTATTAGGCTTCTTCTTACGTAATCTCTAGGAAGTGTTCCAATAAAGGGAAAACAGAAATTGCCTGACCTTTCAATGCTTAGTTTCTGCAGTCACAGAGAGTGACTTCTATTATATTCTGTTGGTCAAAGCCAGCCACCAAGCAATCCCACATAGAAGGGTTGGGGAAACAGATTTCATCTGCTCATGGTAAAAAGCTGCAACATCACATTTTGCAGCTCAACACAGCCACAGGGAGCATTGTTCTTTGGAGACTGTTACCTTAACAATCTACTGTACAAACTAAGTGAAAGCTATATATATTGTCTTTTGAAAGTAAATCCAGAGTCTTTTAACCTCATGGTGAGATATAAAATATCTTTGTTTCAGAGCCTTGTATATCACGTCAGAAGCCTTTTCTGGCATTTTAATCAAACTTTCATAATGTAAAAAGAATTCTCCTCAAATACTGTAGCCCTAGAAATGAAAGATTTTAGACAGTACTGAAAAGAATCTCCACAAGTGTTGACAAATATGGAGAAAACAGTTGGTAGAGAATTTTTACATAATGCATGCATTTTAATGATTAGGGCTCACCAAAATAATGACAAAACAATAACTGTAAGGAGGAGCAATGCAAATCAAATTTTTTTGTTTCTATGAGTACACATGTGAGTATGATCCATCTGTGGGGAGCTTATCAATGGACTGTATAAAGATGGTGTAAAAAGCTGAAATCTGTTCTGAATTTCAGTTATGCCACATTCAAAAATTTTTAACTATTTTCTCCAAGCTACATATTATTTTAAAATGCAGATTCAGTACCATATATTGAATCTCTAATGCTTTTCTCATAGTATTCATTTAAAGCCATACCGCCAACCCTAACCAATAGAACTGAGACATCATTTATATTACAGCCATTGAATAAGAAAGGGAATTAGAGTTCATATATTAATTTGTTTATTGAAGACTTAAGTGATGAGGCTCAATTTTAACTTCATATTTTCAGATGTTGTCTAGTGCTCACATCATTATTGCCACAGAAAAAATTGTGTAACAGCAAGTCATGGTGGACATAATTAAAATTTTTCAAAAATAACTCATTTTGTTAAATAATTTTTAAAAAGTCGTCTGACTTTTACATAAACAATTGGGATTTATTGAATGCTACTTATATATGCAACGTGTTTAGATTGAATCATTTATACATACTTTTCCATGTAATTTCACAAGCTCATTTACCAGAGAAATACTTTATTTTTAGCTTTCCATTTAGGTAATAGGTTTAGAGAAGCCCTGGAGCCATCTCAGAATATCTGTGACCTTTAAAATAAAATCCTCTAAAGAGACACTAACATGCAGCCAGGGTTGAGAGTCATTACTTTAAGTTGTTTTCTATGCGTATATAATCTTAGAAAAAAATTATGACATCATTTATGGGAAGTCAAAAGACATAAGATAAATTGAATAGCAACAATTTCAGGGTTTCCTTATTATTTTCGATTTTCTACGTGTTTAGCATTTTCATTGCAATATCATATAGTATTAGGCAAGCAGTTTAATAATGTAAACACATGTTCTGAAAGAAATTGATTTTGTTGATACATTGATTGATAAAATGACTTACATTTTAATGACTTAAGAGTTTAGGCTATTAAGATGAAGTATACTATAAAATATAATAAGGCTGTTATGTTTTTGAGAAACATATGTACATAAATTGCTAACAAAATCAGAATTAGTTCCTTTATCCTATAGAAGCCTTTATAAAAAGCACGTACCATTTTATTGTTCACTTCTGGAACAATTCAAAGTATAACTTCGTTATTTTAAAAATAATGTCTCACAAAACAAACTCACATCTGTCTTTTTTCTTGAAACTTTTTCAAAGTCCATCTCAAGTTAAATCTATTTAAATATACCTGAATATAATTTGATATATTCAGTTATTTCATGATAATCAAGTATGTGTATTAAACAATCTACAGCAAAGTACCATATGTGTAGCTGTAAATCTGAGTATAAATAAATGGAGCATATAAAACTTGCGTTTAGGTAATACATGAATCTGTCACTGTTAATTCAGGCTGACAAAGGTAATCAGTAAATTCCACAGTAAAAATTATCAAATTATATTTAAAAAAGTAAAGACTCACTCAAAATTATTGTTGTGTCACATATTAAAGTGAAGATATACTCTAATATCAAGTGATAAAAAGAATTCCTTTCTGTTCCACAGATTCTAATGATTGTAATGGGAGTTTGAAGAAAGGATCTCATTCAAGGGAAAAACTTACCAGCAAACTTGATATGAAATTTATTTTCAGGCTTTAAGATCTGCACATACAAAGGGCAATTTGGAGCAAAATCTTTTACAGCCCAAGCTCTTAAAATTGTTTGGTGATCCTAAAATGACAAAGTCAAAATATCAGGAATCAAACTTAAAAATTTATCCAATGTAAAAAACATCAAGCATTCAGATTATTGAACAATCATAACCACAGTTACAAACTAAACACACAAAACAATTCACAATGATTAACTTTCAAGGGCACATCCTATCTGTAAGGGAATAACACCTCAGTCACTCAATGGTGGTTATCAGCACTTAGAAATTGGCAGAGATACAGATGGGAGTAATCAGACAACCCTAAAACTGTTTGCTTTTTCTCAGAATATCCCCGTGAGTCAGAAGCCTCCACAGCAGTTAAAAGTGCAACTAATAACTTTGGTAGTCATTGCAATTTGCAAAGAGGAAAAGAATGAATAGACTTAAAATATTGACATATTTGGAAAGACTGGCAAATACAAGCAGTTACAATATCTGAAGGCAGGGCCCTCGGAAAGTGATTGGATTGGATTAGGTTGCCAAGATGGAGCCGCAGGACAGAATCGAGGGAGTAGTGGGTGCTTCCTGGCTGATCACCAGGTGATCATCCCTCCTCTGTCTTCCATCCTTAGCAGACTGAACTAATCTGACTGTGCTAAATCCATACAATGAAAATGTCACAAAAAAGACATGCAGAATCTCAAATGTAAGTGAAAAAGCCAATCTGAAAAGGCTACATACTGCATGATTCCAAGTACCTGACATTCTAGAAAAGACCAAACTATGGAGACATACAGAAATCAGAGGACACCAGAAGCTTAGTGCTCGCGGCCGGCAGAGGGATGTGCCGGTGAAGCAGAGGGGATTCTTAGGGCAGTGAAACAATGCTGAGTGAGATCATAACTGCTGGTGGATCCATATGGTTATGCATTTGTCAGAGTCCACCCAAAGGGTGACACAGAGTGAAATTTCATGTAAACTGTGGACTAGTTAAATAATGTATTACTATTGGTTCATCAACTGTAAAAAAAAGTGTACTACATTGGCAGACTATATAAATGAGGGAATGGGGAATGCATAAGACAGATGTGGAAATTATTTGTATTTTTTGTGTAGTTCTCTGTAAACCAAAACCTGCTCAAAAAAGTAATATCTACTTAATTAAAAAAAAAGCATGTGGGAAAATCATGAATTTTAGATTAAGAAATCCTGGACTCAGGTATTTACAAGAGAGCTTATAGGATGCATGAATACAGAAAAGTTACTACAGATCCAGTCTCTTCAATATGAGGTTTTGGGGACTAGCATTGTGGCACAGCCAGGTTAAGTCTACTTGCAATGCCAGGTTAAGCCGATTGCAATGCCAGCATCACACATCAGAATGCCCATTTGAGTTCCAGCTGTTCTGCTTCCAATCCAGCTTATTGATACCTCAAGTGCTTGGACCCTTCTACCCATGTGGGAGATCAGGATGAAGGTCCTGGCTCCTAGCTTAGGCCTGATCCAGCTCTGGCTGTTGTGAGCATTTGGGGAGTGAACCAGTCAATGGAAGATTTATTGTCTCTCTCTCTCTCGCTCTCTCTTTCTGCCATAAGAGCAATTAATATATGAGTAAATCCCCAAAGTACAAAATTTGATTGTTGTTAGGATATTTGATGTGTACATCTCACTACTCTTATTTTACTTAAAACATTAGACTTGCACACCACTGCCTCTCTAAAGGGTTCTCTTTTGCCCTGTCACCTGCCCTGGGTTCTTCTTTGACATTCTTATCACAAATGTAACTCCTATTCCTGCTGACAACCCTCTCTTTTCCCAGAGGAGGACATTACCACATGCCAAATCTTCAACTCTCCTGTCTCACCCTACACCTAAAGTCAGTTCTCAAGACTTGTGGATTATGCCCTCTAAATATTACTTAAATGTGACCACTTATCTCCAGCCATAGTACCACACCTGAGTCCAAAATTGGCTCATAGCTAAGAAAACAGCTTTCGAGTCAGCCCAGCTCAGCTTTATCCTTGTTTTCACTAGTTTTCCTCCTTATCAGATATAGCATACTTTCCAACTAAAATGTAATGATTGTACTTCCAGCTGCTTAAAAGCCCACAATGGTTTCGTATCTGTTAGCACCAAGTCCAAACTTCTTAACAAGACTTTTAATACCCTTTACTTCATCGTCCCTAAAGGACTTTCCCAGTCCTTTTACTTGACTTCAGCCATAAAATTCATTCTTCACTCCCCAACCTCCAACATTCCTAATGAAAGTGTCTATTTTTTTCTTTTTTTAACTTTTATTTAATAAATATAAATTTTGAAAGTACAACTTTTGGATTATAGCGGTTCCCCCCCATAACAACCCCCCACCCGCAAACCACCCCATCTCCTACTCCCTCTACCATCCCATTCTTCATTAAGATTCATTTTTAATTATCTTTATATAGAGAAGATCAACAGTATATACTAAGTAAAGATTTCAACAGCTTACACCTACACAGACACACAAAGTATAAAGTACTGTTTGAATACTAGTCTTACCATTAATTCGCATAGTACAACACATTAAGGACAGGGATCCCACATGGGGAGTAAGTGCACAGTGACTCCTGTTGTTGATTTAACAATCGAGGAAGTGTCTGTTTAGAACAGGGTTTCTTAAGCTAGCCTGTGCTCATGCCTCTCAACCCTGATAAGAAGTCACATGTAGGGGAAGTCTTTTCTTGTGACTACCTGGACATTAGGGTAGAAGTCTGTGCTAGTTGGTCATATCATCAACACCATCTAATGTGCAGTATTTTTGAAAGTTATTCTTCACTCAATGGGAAGCTCAGTGAAAGTGAAGTCCATGTCTCTACTTTTCTCCCCCTAGCTCATCCTTAGCACCCATCATTCCCTTGCACCTCACAGATAAGTAAGAAAAAGTAAGGAAAGCAGTATTTGCTCCACAGAGATAGTATGACGCATTAGAACAGATAAAGCATCACACACATATAAAGCTTTGGGTAAATATTGCAATTAAAGGAATGAAGAGCCAGGATGAAGCACTTATCCTAAAGTCCCATATTCTTCCATGTTTTATTCATGTTTTATGCCCTCTGAAGAACAGAAAAAATATTAATAATCCTGTGGTACATTATTAAATGAGAAAGAGCAATATGCTATGGCATAAATGTCACATGAAGAATAGAAAAGTAATATTTTCCTAATGCAGATAATGAAACTAGCATATAAAATATTTTTAATTCATAAGCCAAAGATGAGAATGATATTTTTAACTTTCTTTCTGATGAATTATCCTTAAAGAAGATGTTATTTTTTTGTAATCAAAAAGTAAAAATATTGATTGTGATAACTGAAAAAAGAAGGCTATGTAATAATGGAAGATAACAGAAGCCCTTATGAGGTCACCTAGGGGTCTGCTGAAACTGAAAGCAGAACATTTCACTTAAAGTCAGTTTGCCCAGAAATCAAATCAGCAAACACTAGCTACATAAAATTTAAATTTTCAAACAGATGCCTCTAAAAATTATTCGTTGATTTTTTATGAACTTGCAATAAATCACTTTACCTACATCAGTGATTGTTTGAAATCCAAATGATCCATGAAAAAACTTGGCAATTTTAATTATGTTTTATACATGAATTATTTACCACCCTACCCATAAGAATTTGTAACTGTCACTAGATTCTCAAGTGGAGTCTATTATCCAGAAAATGGTAATAAAATGTTTTAACAAAGATCACTTTCAACCCATTTTTCCATTTATAAATGCATCTGAAGCACTCTGCAAACTTAATACTCATGAGTGTTTTGTATACTTTAAATATATTTCACCAACTTATCTGCTGTACATTTTTTAGGATCATAAAATCCCAAAGTAAAACTGAATTCTAAAACTTAATATTAGAAGTAAACAGATTTGGAGCCGGCGCCGTGGCTCAATAGGCTAATCCTCCACCTTGCGGCGCCAGCACACCGGGTTCTAGTCCCGGTTGGGGCGCCGGATTCTGTCCCGGTTGCCCCTCTTCCAGGCCAGCTCTCTGCTATGGCCAGGGAGTGCAGTGGAGGATGGCCCAGGTGCTTGGGCCCTGCACCCCATGGGAGACCAGGAAAAGCACCTGGATCCTGGCTCCTGCCATCGGATCAGCGCGGTGCGCCGGCTGCAGCGGCGGCCATTGGAGGGTGAACCAACGGCAAAGGAAGACCTTTCTCTCTCTGTCTCTCTCTCTCACTGTCCACTCTGCCTGTCAAAAAAAAAAAAAAAAAAAAAAAAGAAGAAGTAAACAGATTTGCTCAAAATACATAAGTAATTGAACAAATATATAAGTAAATTATAAAATAGAAAGTAAAAAGATCTTATGGCAAATTAGAGAACAAATTTCTCTTGAAAACATTGCATTGTAAAAAAGTTCTTGCAAAATATAATATGTGCCCAGAGAACAATTTATTCACAGAAGTCCCTGTAAAGCCTTTACATTAGATTAGTCTCAAAAATACTTTCAGGCCAGGACCTTTTTTGTTTAAAATCACATCTCCTGTATCTGAAAGGTAGACTGGAAAAAAAAAAAAAGGTTTAAAATTTAAAATTAGGAATGGACATTGAGTCCAGCGATTGAGACACTAGCATCCCACATTGGAGTACCTGGGTTCGAATTCCAGTTCTAGCTCTTGATTCCAGTGCTAACCCTGGGAGGCAGTGGTGACAACTCAACTAATTATATTCCTGCCACACATGTGGGAGACTTGGACTGCACTGATGACTCCTGGCTTTGACCCCAGCCCAGCCTTGGCCATTGCTGTCGTGTGGGGAATAAGCCAGCAAAAGGGGACTCACTGTCTATATGATCGCTTCTCTGCCTCTCAAATAAATAAAGTTTAAGGTTAGATTATTACACATACAGCATACGTATACTAATATCAAAAACTGAAGTAATTCTGAAATAGAAAATCCATATAATCTACAATTGATTTAACATTTGACTGAATTTTTAAAATTGCTTAGGTTATCATAATCCATTTTAATATGGTTCAAATAGGACATATATTTTCTATAAATACAAAGACAATTCAGAAGTT